GTCAGCAGATGAATAAGCAACAACTGTATACCCCTCACGTGGGGGGGGGGGGGTTCTCCAGAATCTCTGCAGTGGGAGGGGGGGCATCAGTCCGCCCGAAGCTGCCTCCTGCCACTAAGTGTCCAAGGTGGTGGTGATGCCCGGTCCTTGCAGGGCCCAGAGCTAACGGCTCCGTCTCCAGGGCCAGGGCTGGAGCTGGGGAGAGAGAGCGGCCGGCTTTGAATGAATGGGGCAGAGGACAGGGCCACACACCCACTTTGGAAGGATCAAGTGCAGAGAGGGACTCGGAGCTTCCCACGTCGCAGGCTGCCTTTGATGGCTGACAGTCCCTGCACGGGGTTCTGTGGGGTTGAGGCCCGCTGGGAAGGGAGCTGAGGTGTGCTCCTGTGAAGGACGCAGGTGCCTTGCACTGCGGCTGGGGGTGCAGTCAACAGCAGCTGAGAGGCCTCCTCAGGGCTGGGCAAGGCCCTGGCCTGCCTGGTGCCCGCCTCCTAGCCCCCTGCCCTCAGCCAGAACCAGCCCAGCGCTGGCACAGGCTGTTCTTGCGGACTCTGGCCTCCATGGGCCTGGCCCTCGGTCCCATTCTTGTCCCCTTGGGGTCACAGCATCCCTCCAGAGCCAGGCACAGGCTTCTGCCACGGGACAGAGAGGCGTGTGCCCCCCAGCCCCAGGCTTGAGTTAGAGCCCGGAAGCCGGTCCTCACAGCCCCGCCCAGTGGCCCCGAAGGGCTGCCCGCAGGGAAGGCCTTCCCGGGAGCCCCGGAATCGCCCAGGCGGTGGCGCGGCCCCGGCCGCCTGCGGTCTTGCTAACAGCTCTGCGTCTGGCCCGCCGCAGGAGGGGTGCTGCCTGCACAGGGACGGGCAGCCAGGGCGCCAGGCTAGGACACGGGTGCGGCCTGGTCCCTTCTCCTTGCGTTTCCGTGGCGTCTGCTCCATCCTGCAGATGCGCCCCCCTCGCAGCTTGCTGGGGGCGCCCCCGGGTGCCACAGCCCCGTTGGGCTTTCTGGAGCCAGCCTCGCCCATCCCGCCTTGTGGGCTCCGGGCCCCACACCCAGGCCTCTGCCTGCACCCTGAGCAGAGCTCCGTGGGACACGAAGCTGCCCGCCTGAGCCCTCATTTTCCGTGGGAACAAGGGTTCAGGGGAGGGGGGCACGAGGTGTGGACCCTGAGGTGGGACCACTTACCACTGAGCTGGGGCTTGGGGGACCTTTCTGGCCAGTGCCTGCCTCAGCCACTCCCTTGTCCCTGCTTCAGAGAATGGCCACTGTGCCCCGAGCTGGGACCCTCTTCCTGCAGGTGTCTCTGGTTCAAGGGGCCTCTGCACCTCTTGTCGCCCTCGTCTGACCTCGTCGGCCCTCCCGAGGGTCATCTAATGAGATCTCCCTCAATTCTGAATGCAGGCGGGAGACCCCTCCACGCCCCAAGTTCTGGCCTCACCGGGGTCAGGTTAGGACGACATCAGTTCAAGGGGGCTTAGGCGTCCTGAGGTCTGAGAGTAACTGACCTGGGGTGAGTGTTGTGTGGGTGTAAGGGGCCCACCCTTGGGGCCATGGCCCTGGGCAGAGCCCCGAGGTCACTGTGCCAAGTCCGGCTGGGTGATGCCCGGCCCCCGGAGACCTGGTCATCCCCGCTCCAGCAGCAGTGTCGGGCGGCCGCAGTGTCGGGTGGCGGCAGCGGCGCTGGGCTGGGTAGTGCCGCGCTGAGCGCGCCGGGAGCGTGCCGAGCAGCTCGGCCTGAGGTCACTGCTTGTGTGTGTTTTGAATATTTCCAGCTGTATGTGCACTGCGGGGACTTGGCCCGTGCACTGTGTGCAGCTCATACTTGGTGGGCTGTGTGATGTGCGGAGGCGTTGCCAAGGGCAGCGGAAATGTGGATTTTTTCCAGTGTAGTCACGAATCCTACCACCACCTCCCCTGCCCCTGCCCCGGGCCTGTGCTGTCTCACCCTGTGGCGAGGGAGCTGCCAGGCGCTGCTGGGCTGGGAGGGGCACAAGGGCCAGCGCTTGGTCCTGACAGACGGTGACCCCTGCTCTGACCCTGGATTCTCCAGGACAGCGAGGTGTCCAGGGAAGGGGACCCCACTGGCTGTGTCCTCAGTGTTAAGGGGGATCCTTCAGGCCCTGGGGATCCTTCATGCCTGGGGAAGTGGGGTGGGGGCTGCCTGGCTGGGCATTCCTCGGGGAGGGGCTCCAGGTCAGGAAGGTGGGCAGGTGTCAGGTCCTTCTGCGAAGGGCCATGTTCTTGCACGTCCAGGGAATAAGGAGGCCTGACCGTGTCCAGCCCGTCTCAGAATGGCTGGGACCCACAGCAGGTCTGCTTCCACCTGGCCGGGGCTCAGGCCGGCCTCTCGGAGTGACGGATCTCAGCTGCCAGGGCTGCCGGAGTGAAGCCCCACAGACTGGGGCTTAAACGACACACGTCTTTTCTCACAGTTCTAGAGGTTGGAGGTACTAGGTCAAGGTGTCAGCAGGGCTGGTTTCTTCTGAGGCCTTTCTCCTTAGCTCGCAGATGGCGCATCCGCGCCGACTCCGCGTGGTCCTTCCCTGTGCGTGTCTGTCTCTCGACCTCCTCTTTTGAGGACAACAGTCGTACTGGATTAGGGCCCCCTCTAGAAATTTCATTTTAACTTAATCACTTCTTTAAAGACGATATCTCCAAATACGGTCACCTTCTGAGGTTCTGGGAGTTAGGGCTTCAACATATGGATCTTGAGGGACACAATTCAGCACATGACACCAGTTGATGCTCGTGGCCTGGAAGCGATCCCAAATCCTCCATGGCCCAGCCAAAGGCTCCTGGAGCACCCCTGCCCCCCTGGTGGGACACAGGCTGGGCCGGGGGTCTGTGGTCCCATGCGGGGAAATGGCCACATCCTGAGGGAGGCTCCATCTGTATTCAGCTCAGTCCTGAGGAGAGGAAACCAGGGCTCTGGGGTGGGGGGGGGGGGGTTGGGGGAGTGGCTCCCAGTTGCTTAGCTAAGGGGCACTCAGTTGCCACGGTGACCTCTGTCTGCACAGTCAAACACACACAACCCAGCCACTTCTCTCAGGCTGGAGGGTTCCCCGCCCCCCATCAGAGTTCACACTGAGTGTTGAGTCCCTTGGTGACAAAAACATGGAAACGGTTGCCATGGTAGCCATTCTTTGGAGCCCTCAGACTGGAGTGCAAAGTTCAGGATGCCCAGGAACAGCTGAAATGAAAATACGGGAAAATCTGCCACGTCCCTCATCCCGGAAGGATGAGTTGGATGATGTTTGATGCTCCCCTGGGCCCAGCCATCCCTGCGCCGCCTCATCACCCTGGGCACAGGAGGGGAGCGGGAAGGGCCCTTGGAGTGAAGGTGGCAGGTGGCCCACAGAATTCTTGAGAGAAGCCGGCCAGCGTGGGAGGCCAGTCTGAACTGTGGGTGGGCCCAGTGCCTGAGGCTGCAAGTGGGTAGGTGATGACCCCTAGGTATTCCCTGGGGACATGTCTTCTGTTTGCTGAAGCCTCCAGCCTGCTGTGACTCAGTTTCTTCACCTGTTATCTGGAGGGACATGCTGCTGCTCCGGTTTCAGGAGGGTCCAAGTCCACTCAGCTGCCAGGGTAATCTTCAGCCTGGTCCAGGGGTAAAGGGTACAGGGCCTCCTGGGTGGCCTCGGCAAGGGGAATGTGCCCTGTTCTGACCAAGGGGACGGGAATATGCCCTGGGCAGATGGACCTGGCCGAGTGCTGGGAGTGTGGTCAGTTCCTATAGACTTCCTCTAGTCTTCCTGGACCCTAGTAGACTAGGGTCTGAGTGCCATGAATGGAGGTCGTTGCGGCAGAGGCCTCTCCATTTAACCACTGGACTGGGAGGAATGAATATGTGTCCCCGCACCAACAGTTCCCCAAGTAGGCCCCAGGGGCTCTGGTGACTGAAATGCACTAAGCAAAAGGCTCTGCAGTCAGCGTTGTTTGGGAAACCACACATGCATGTGCACACGCGCGCACACAGTTTATAGATTAAAGGCTCTGAAAAGTCCTGCAGTAAGGAAGTCTCTTGCCTTTGTTTAACTTAATATTTAAAAAATGTATTTGAACAAGGTTTTCCCTCTGTCTTTTAAAAGTATTTCCTCCTATATATATATATTTTTAAACCTCTTAATATCTGCAGAAATAGCACTTAATGACATTGACTAGGGTACTGATTCTCAGTGTGTTCCCTGGGTCAGCAGCACTTGGAAGGTTGTGAGAAATGCGTATCTCTCCCTCCAACCCAGATCTTTTGAATGAGAAACTGTCTTTTGACAAGCTCTTTGTTTGAAAACCCCTGTACTAGGGGAAATATTTGCAGAGAATTGGGAGGAAGGGGAATGGCCTGGGGAATTTGAGAAAGGAGGGCGAGAGGAAGGGCAGTCTGGTAGGGATGGGAATGGGCAGTATTTAAGAACCCTGGACTCTGGGAGAGGTGCTGTGGGCACCTTGAAGGGCAGGTTCAGGGTACACTGAGACTGGGTCAGGTGCAAGGTTGTATGTCTGGAGGTGTCATGAGGCTTGGTATTAAGTCATTGGGGCCTTTGGAAATGCCTAGGGGGGTCACCTAAGGAGGCCCTGTGTCCTGTGCCACCCTGGCCCTGCCCACCAGGAATATCCAGCACTGGTTCTGAAGGCACCTGCCCTGGGCAGATGGACTTGACCCAGAGTGTTGGGCATGGGGGTCAGTTCCTGTACGTTTCTTCTTGCCTTCCTGGACCCTAAGCGGGGTCTTGTCCCAAAGGAAGTGTTGGGTGGCACCTTCAAAATAGGCATGAGGTAAGGCTGCTCGAAGTGGCGGCCCTGGCCCAGGTATCAGGAGGCAGGGTTTCAGTGGGACACCTGTGCGGGCACTTCCCAGCTCCGGGTCTGTCCTTTTCCATGCAGCAGGCGGGCACTGTCGGTACTGGCGAGGGTAGAGGCGGACAGGGCCCACTGGCCACGGGAGCCGGGGACACAGGGGCACTACCCGCCCCGTGGCCCACCGCCTGCCTGTGCTTCCTTGCAGCTGTGCAGATCCACATCCTGAAGGCAGACAAGGCGGGGGACTGGTGGAAGTTCACGGTGAACATCATCTCCGTGTACAAGCAGGGCGCGAGCCGCATTCGGCGCGGTGACCAGAGCCTCTGGATCCGCTCGCGGGACATCGCTTGCAAGTGTCCCAAAATCAAGCCCCTCAAGAAGTACCTGCTGCTGGGCAACGCGGAGGACTCGCCGGACCAGAGCGGCATCGTGGCGGACAAGAGCAGCCTGGTGATCCAGTGGCGGGACACGTGGGCGCGGCGGCTGCGCAAGTTCCAGCAGCGCGAGAAGAAGGGCAAGTGCAAGAAGGCCTAGCGCGGAGGCAGCGGCGCCGGGCGCCGGGGGCGGGGCGCGGGCCGCGGGCCGGGCGACGCAGCGGCGGCGTGGACTTGGCCCGAGAGGGCTTTCCCAGGTGGGGGGGGAGGGAGGGCGGGGCCACGGCCGGCGCGGGGGCGGGGCCCTCGGCGGCCCCGCCCCTCGGCGGCCCCGCCCCTCGCCCCACTCTGCGCGTCCCGGCGCACTCCGGGAGGGGTGCGCAGCGGGCCAGGCCCTGGAGAAATGAGGACGAGACTTAGCTACCTCACGGGCTCCTTCCAGAGCAGGGACGCTTCCCGAGGGCCAGGCGGGGTCGCTGTGGCGGGGGCGGGGCAGCCCGATCTGGGCCCAGGGACTGGCGCTGAACCGCGCAGGTGGGGCCGCACCTGTGGCCGCCGGTGTGTGGTTAGGGAGAAGGGGACGTGAGGAGGAGAACTGTGAATTCTCAGGCCCCCAGTTGGGCTGGGGGCTGAGCGAGCACCGCCAAACCACCACCCAAACATAAAGGACCGGAAATCCCTACCTTTCCCCCTGACCTTATGGCACAGGACCCCCTGGTTGGGACAAGTTGAGCCTCATCTGAAAGGGCTAGGCAGGCATTTGGGGACAGCAGAAGCGGCCTGTGCCACCAGGATCCCCCATGTAGACTGTGGTCTCCATTGCCACCTGCTGACCTGGTCCTCCTGGGTGGGGTGAAGCAGAAGTCCCTGCTGGTGCCCGCCCCCGCCCACTGGGGTTCGGGTGCAGTCCCAGGATTCCGGCCCATGCAGAGGGCAGTGGACCCAAAGACACCCCTGAGAAGCTCCAGCCGGGTGGTCACTGCCTCATACTGGAGCTGCCTGTTGGAGGAGGCTTTGGGAAGGCACAACCTCCCAGAGTGTTTCCTTTTTGGAAACTTGGAACCGGCCCCTTTATGACATTTTCCAGGGGAGGGGAAGGGGCACTGGCTGGGTTTATGGCAGTGACACTGTTTGTGTAATGACATCAGCTCCCACAAGGCCCCTCAGCAGTGTCTACAGCTGGGAAGGGCCTCAGTGCGCATGGAATGCAGGCTGCAAAGGTGGTTAGGCCTGCTGGGGGAAGGGCTTGCGAGTTGGGACCGGGTCTGCTGGCTCAGCAAGGTGCCAGGTGCCTGTGCCATGGGCAGGCAGGGCCAGGAATGACCGGGTCCCTGGGTACCGAGGAAACCTGTTGCTGTCCCCACTCCAGGCTCTCCAAGGGAAGGGACAGAGGCTGCTGGGCCAGGAGAGCCTGCTGCAGCTGCCCCACCCTGGGGCTGCCTCCCGCACCTGTTGTGGTCTAGCCTGGGCAGCACCTCTTCCACACCATTCCAGCTTCCCCCTTTGTGGAGCCTCCCATGCCCCGGGTGTGGCCGCACCCCTTCCAAAGGTTCCAAAGGCACTGTCTTCAAGCAGGCAGCCCAGACCTTTGGGTCTGATGGCCTTGCACAGGGCCCGGTCCTCTGCCCTGGGCCTGCTCCTCCCTGCCCGAGCTCTCTGCACTGCCCAGAGGCTGTACCCGGCACACTGAGCTAGAGGCCTGGTTCCCTTCTCAGCCAGAACATTGGTTTCATTTTTCTGCTGGAGTTTTCCCACTAAGCATGAAATGCTGCCCCATGGCCTGGCCGCCCTCTGCCTCCTCTGCTTCGGCCTGCACCAGGGCTACGTTACTGAGCACCTGCTCGGTACCGGGCACACGGTCTCCTGTTGGCCACGTGACAACCCTGAGACAGGGATTCTTAGCCCCACTGTCACCAGCGAGGAAACTGAAGCACATGTGCCCAAGGTCACCAGGCAAGTAAGTGGCAGCACTAGATTCACAGTCCAGAGCCAGGCTTTCTGGCCACGGGCCGGGCTGCCTTAAGCGCTGCACTAGCTTGGTGGCCTGCCCACCCAGTCCCTGTGGCAGGCTGCTCCTGGGGTGGGGTCGCCACTGAGACACGCCCTGGTTACTGCCTGTGGCCTGGAGAAGTGTGTGTTTAGGGGGTGCACAGTAACATCTTCAGAGGTAGGGCAGTGGTGGGTGAGGCTGGCTGTAGATTCACCACGGGGCCAGCCCTGGGAGGCCGGGTTGTGGAGGGCAGGCCTTGGCCGATCTGAGATGCGGTAGAAAGGACATTTGCTGCCTGGGCGTGTTTGGAGGGATTCCAGGGGAGACTGGCAGAGATGCACACGGGGCAGGGAGAGGACAGAATGGCCCTGGGAAGGGGTATTTGTCTTCCCTGAATCCAGGCCCAAGACGGAGCATCGCAACCTCCCCTGGCAGGCAGCCCCGACGCCCAGCGTGGCGTGCTGAGCGCCGTGAGCGCCTCGGAGGCCTGGGCATGATGCTGGCCCACAGTCCTGTAGAGGCACCTACTGCCTGGGCCGTGGTCCTGTTTCTGTTTCCGCCGGTCTGGCTGCTCTGCCCTGCCCAGAAGGGCGGCCCCGCCCCCTCCCACCCTGGGTCTGAGTCACTCCAGGTCCATCAAAGGGCTGGCGCTGGTGGTCTCCGAGGCCCCCAGCTCTGGTGCCAGCAGCCTGCCAACCCATAATGCATCTTGCTTTAAACTCATCCCCGCTCCAGCCCCTCCCTCCTGCTCAGCATCCTGAGGGCAGAGTCCATGCGGTTCACCCAGCGGCCTGGCCCCTGGGGAATGTCAGGGCCGCCCGATCAGCCAGGTGGGGGTGAGGACACGGTTGGGATTTCAGTCATCACAGGCCAGAACCTCACTGACCCAGCCAGAACCCAGGCCATGACTCCTCTGAATCCAGCCACCCACTTCAGCAGTGAGGACCCCTCCTTGGGAAAGCACCCCCTTCCACCCCACAGTCCCAGGGAGCAGATGGAAATAGGGTTTGAGGTGTGCCCATGTGTACAGTTAGGAAGGGATGTAAAGTGGAACTAGATTTTGATTTTGAGGAGTGTATTAACCAGAATTGTGATTATGTAGGTGTTTGAAAAAAAACAGCAACATACCAGATTAGTCTTTTTTTTAAAAAAAACAGATTCCCCAGTTGTCCTTTTTCTTATCTGCTGGGTGGTCTGGAGCCCCTGACAGCGGGTGCCTGCTTCACTACACACAATAACGCTCAAGATTGGGGTGCAGAGAAGGGTGGGATGTGGGGCTGCCTCCGACTCACCTGCAGGCTGTGGCTTCTGTCCTGATGCCGGCGGGGGCCAGAGAGCTGCCCCCAGACCCTTAGTGACGACCTGGAGTTCCGCCTCCATAGCAGCATGCAGGAAATGGGTACAGACTTCCTTGGGGTGCCCCAGGTTGGAATGAGACTGAAATTAAGGAGCCTGAGGGATCAGGAAATGGTCCCTTCAGGAAAAGGAAAAATTGCTGGGGGTCTCAGTGCTCAAAGGAAGCCCCCCATCACCCCATGAGAAAGAGTAGACAGACCAGACTCACTGATGAAGTTACTGGGCCACGGCTCACGGCGCAGCCATGCCGTACCCTAGGGGTATTAACATGTGTCCTGTGGGGCCGCACCCTCTGCCCAGCCCAAGCCAGCCCGACTCCCTGTGTCAAGGGACAGTCTCCCAGCCCCTGCTCCCACGTGCTCTGCCTGTCCCTCCGCAGCTCCCTCCTCGTGTCGGGATTCTGCTCACTCAGAATGGTAAATGTTTAGTTGTGACCATGACATATTGTTTGGGTCAGTGTTCCTTTCCAATGCATACTAATATATTATGGTTATTATATATGAATATATTTAATGACATGGAAAAAGTTGTGGATTTTTTTAAGGTTTTTTTTTTTTTGTTAGAGTTGTAATGGACCCAGATGGAACTTGTAACGTGGGCCCCACATGATAGAACTAAATTCAGATATCAATTAAATAAACTCTTGTACACTGTTCTTTGTCTTCCCGTCTTTACTGGTGGTCGAGCTGTGGGTGGTGGGCATGCAGGGGGACAGGAGGGTGGTGGGTCTTTACGCCACTTAAGGAACATGGATTCTGGTCTGAGAACTCCCAGCAAGACAGAGCTGCTGGGTTTTCACAAAGCCCAAGACAAGAGATCCAACAACAACAACAACAAAAACAGGAAAAGGGCAGCTTTGCTTGGAAAGTCCGAGGGGCTCGGCTGGCTCCAAATGTGAGTGGAAGCTAAAAGTCTCTCACGTGGGTCAAGCAGTATTTCAGTCCCCCACGGCCATCCTGGGGCCCAGCCGCTCCTGGGCCCCAAGGAGCGGCTGGGCCCCAGGTCCAGGGCACCGCGGGGCCGTCTTCCCATCTGCCCCAAAGTCAGCAGCCGGGCAGAGGGCATCTCGGAACATCCCCAGCTGACTCAGAATCTGCAGGTAGAGTTTTTGCAGTTCACAGAACCAGTTCGTTCTTTCTTTTTTTAAATTTAATTTAAAAAATGTTTTATCCTCACCCAAGGACATTTTTTTTTTTGCATTTCTCTTCAGACACAGTGGGTGGGAGAGAGGGAAGAAGAGAGAGAGAGAAACATTGAACTGAGAGACACAATGAGCGGCCGCCACCCACACGACCCCAACTGGGGCCAGGGACAAACTGCAACTGAGGCACATGCCCTTAGCGGGAACCGAACCCGCGTCTCTCTGATGCTCTAACAGCCGAGCCATACTGGCCAGGGTGAACCAGCTCCTTCTATTCAGAGCCAAGAGGAGACCCACGAGAAGAGACAGCAGGGTTAGTAAAACTTGGGGATTCTTTTCAAGCGACTGCCAAAGGCTTCATGCAGTGTAGCGATGGCTGAGCTCACTGGGTTTCTGAGAAACTGTATGTAAAGCTCCAAATGGTTGTGATTTCTTTATTAAACAAACAATTCAGTCATTAGGAACATGTTGTGTTGCTATGCGAAGTGGAGCCGATCGTCACCAGGAAGCTGTAATTTCTGCACCCAGCTGTTTGGAAGACAAGTCTCCACGCTGGGCCTGGTCCGGCCCCGGGAGGCAAGGGCAGCCCTTTCGCTGCGGGTGGGGAGCTGGCTCAGGTGCCCTTAGCCTCTCTCCGGGAAGAAACAGGGCCAGCCCGGGCCGCTCCTGGGGT